CAAACCAACCAACAATAAAATGAATAAATAAGGGGTTGACAATGCATCCAAATTTCAACCTAACAGCTTTCTATTCTAAATGAGAAAGGTTAAGGAAAACAGACCCTGAGACACAAGGGGAGGGAAATGTTAAACAACTGCACTTGAGAATTCCACTGCATAATTCCACCAAGTAAGTATTACTATATTGACGATAATTCTCAAGCTGGATAGATAATATAGGCAGAGGAGCAAAATTAGGATGGAAAAGATTATACCTTTTATATATGTATAGGTTTTAATCTTTTACAAAATATCTAACAGGAAATATTTAACAAGCAGTTGAAACTTGGCTTTGCTGAGGTTACAGGGGGATTAGACACTTGGGAGTCATCAGGATACGTCATGGAAATGGTTGTGTTCTCAAAAGAAGAGCTTGTATAGGAAGATGAGATAAAATTAAAAATAAAGTCATAAGAAACAGTAATAGTAAAAGATAGGAGAATAAGGAGAAACTAAAACATGGTAGATAACGAGTAAGTAGAGAGACAGAAAAAGCAAGGGAGATATTTTCATGGAAGGCAAAGGAGTATTTCAAATAAAGAATGAATAGAGGCCACTAGATTTTAATGTAACTTATTCAGATAGTTTAAGCAGAAATGGAAACCAGAATGCAGTAAAATAAGTTGGAGAATGAAAAAGAAGTTCTGACAGAAACCCAGGCTGTTCTGTAAAGAAGGATGCTGATGAGAACATAGTAAAGGAGATATGATGTGGATAAAGCAGTCAAGAATGTTTACTGTGAGAAAGACATAAAACTTTTCTTATGGGAATAAAAAAGCTATTTTACAAAACATACATATTTGAAAAGGTATGTACGTTCATGACTTCTACAAGACATAACTCACCATCAACAAAACAAAAACAACTTACTGAATGGTAGACAACACTCCCCAATGATACATATGATGAGTTAAAATTCAAAATATACTAGAGGCCTGATGCACAAAATTTGTACAAGGGGCTCAGCCCTCACAGCCACCACAGCTTGCCCTGGCTTCATCTGGAAGGTTGTCCGGAAGGTCGTTTGGCTGTCTGGTCTAATTAGCATATTATACTTTTATTATTATTATAGATAAGTAACTCATATAACTTAACACCAAAAAAAAAAAAAAATTCAAAATAATCAAATTAAAAAATGGACAGAGGATCTGGATAGATATTTCTCCCAAGAGGACATACAGATGACAAACAGACATTTGAAAAGATATTCAAGATCACTAAACATTAGAGAAATGCAAATAAAAACCATAATGAGATATCACCTCACACTTGTCAAAATGGCTATCATCAATAAAGCAATAAGAAACAAGTGTTGGTGAGGATGTAGAGCAGAGGGAACTTTCATGCACTGTTAGTGGGATTGTAAACTGGTGCAGCCACTGTAAAAAACAGTATGGAGGTTCCTCGAAAAATTACAAACAGAATTACCGTATGACCCAGCAATTCTACTTCTGGGTATTTATCTAAAGAAATTTAAAACACTAATTTGAAAAAATATATACACCTCTATGTTCACTGCAGCATTATTTACAATAGCCAAGATATGAAAGCAACCTAAGTGTCCATCGATAAATGAACTGATAAAGAAGTTGTGGTGCATACATACAATGGCATATTACTCAGCTAAAAAGAGAATGTAATCTTGCCATTTGTGGCAACATGGATGGATCCATATAATATTATGATAAGTGAAATGAGTCAGACAGAGAAAGACAAATATCTTATTATATCACTTATATGTGAAATCTAAAATACAACATAAATGAACAAACAAGACAGAAACAAACTCCTAGATACAGAGAACAGGTTGATGATCATGATATGGGGGTTGGGGGTAGGAGAATTGGTGGAAAAGGTGAAAGGGATTAAGAAGTAGAAATTGGCCCTAGCCAGTTTGCCTCAGTGGATAGAGTGTCAGCCTGTGGACCAAAGGGTGTCGGGTTCGATTCCGGTCAAGGGCAAATCTCTTGGTTGCAGGCTCCTCCCCGGCCCTGGCCCTGGTAGGGGCTCATGCAGGAAGCAACCAATCAATGTGTTTCTCTCACATCGATGTTTCTCTCTGTCTTCCCCTCTCTCTTCCACACTCCCTAAAAGTCAACGGAAAAATATCCTTGGGTGAAGATAACAAAAACAACAAAAAAGAAGTACAAATTGCCAATTGTAAAAATAGTCACAGAAAAAAAAGTCCCAGGGATATAATGTACAACATAGGGAATATAGTTAATAAGACTGTAATAATTCTGTACGGTATCAGATGGATACTAGATTTATTGGGGTGATCACTTCATAAGGTATATAAATGTCTACTCACTATGTTGCACACCTGAAACTAATATATTATTATATGTCAATTGCAATTGAAAAATAAATTTAAAAAAATAAAAGAATGAGACTACTCAAAAAGAGACATCTCCTGCATAATAATATTTAGACATTACTGACTACTGAAGAAAGACAGAGTTAATCAGATATGAGGTACCTTCCTATCCCACTACTACTCCCTGCCCTGAACTCAAGGCAACTAAGCTGGTTAGGACCACATGTTACCACCTTCACACTCACCCTCAAAATATCCATCCCCTTGGGAGAGTCCTTCACTGCCCAGCTATCATTCCCTCTGAAGATTAGTTTGAACAAGAAATGCAGAAACAACATCAGGGAGAGAGGTCCGCTCAGGGTTAAGGAGGTCATTCTCCCTATCTACACAATAATAAACAGGGAACTGTGATCTTCAGAGAGAAACAGAAGCTCAGAGAAAAGTCAGTGCAAAGAATATGTGGCCTGAAAGGGATCAAAAAAGTGATCTTCAGAGAGAAACAGAAGCTCAGAGAAAGTCAGGACAAAGAATATGTGGCCTGAAAGGGATCAAAAAAGGGGGGAGAGAGAGAGAGAGAGAGAATGAATAGTTGCCTCAGTCCCAATCCACTGTGCCTGTTTCTATTGCAGTTTATTCCCATAAAGGCAAGTTACACATCACACGAAATGCTCCTAAATCCCTTTAATAAACCACCTGCATGTGAGATAAGTGAATGCATTTTCTTTCCTAGCAACTAAGTAATTTCGCCTAAAAAACATGGCTCCTTTTCTGATCCTTCCAATGAAATTTAGAAAACTTTCTATACAAAGCTATGGATAATTTAAATGTCCAGCTACAATGCTATCAACCTTATCATGAGGAGAAGGAAGGCGACATGGCAAATGCACTGAATTTTACTTATGGAAACGGATGAGCTTATTACAGCACTTTTCTTCAATCTGTGGAAAAGTCACTAAAACAGACGGTTCTTTGAATCTTTCTTCAAATGCTTCTATTCTATGCTTCATAACAAAAATAAATATTCCTTCCATGAAAGAAAGGATCAGTAAATTATTATTTTTACCACCATACCCAGGCTCCCAGTTTCCTCAAATCAGTCTCCGAGCTTGGGGTCACCCCTTATGTCACCTCAATTCTGTAAAGAAAACATTCCTCCTCTCCAAACTGCACTGGAAATCAGATATATCAGATAACACATGTAATCATACCTCATATATACTGGAGTCTAGGTAATAGCCTACAACCGTGGAAAGCTGGACAATCTGACCCTCCTGAACCCCTGGACTTGGACAGTGGTCCCGCTGGCCTCTCCGCCCTGGTGCTGCTGCCAATTCTCTCTGTACTCAGATTTCATGTGACACCCAGTTAAGTCCCCTTCAGGATGCTCTTTTCAACCCCCTTCAGCCCTTCCTGCTAGGTCTGGCCTAATTCCAATCCCACAGGTCAACAAACAAGCTGATCCGGGCCACCAATGACTAGCCAGAGAGCCCCACTCTCATCCCTCCCTTCCCATCTCTGCCTCTTTATCCGCCTCCCTCTGAAGCCCTGAACCTGCAAATTCCCCAGGTGAGCAGAGCAGCTCTTAACAATAGAGGAACGGAAAGATCAGGAAAAAAGAGACTGTAAGTGACTTGAGGACAGACTCTGTGTCTGTGTTGCTCATACTGTCCCCTCAGAAACCCGCTTGGGAGACAGCATGAGGACGTACTTAGAAAATACTGTTGAACAAATGAGCTACAAGGACGGCGGGATAGTAGTCACTCTGCCTGCATCCAAGTATGTACTTCACATTCTCTCAGGAGTGAAGCCTCCCAAAAAGACAGACTCGCTATTTCATCATCTAGCCTCATCCCACTTCAAACATTACAGGAAACTGACATTTCTTTAAAAAATAAAAAGTAGATGAGACTAATCCATTTCACATACTGAGGTATCTTTCTGTAAAAAGCTCTTCTAAATGTTATTCTAGCGTTCTTTAAAATGTCATTTATTTTCTATGACAATTCTTACAGGAATGTTATAGGCATGTAAGTTTAATATTAATAAATCAACATCAATATCCATCATAAATCATGATATTATGGTTTATGTTATTAAATCGTCATAAAAAACATAAAATATGAACTTACATGTTTGGACAAGTTGGGGCTCTTTGAATCAACATCGTACCTAAAAGATTAAAATGGGAAACTCCAATTATTTCCATAACACTCAACTAGAGAAAAATATCAGCATTTTTTAAGAAACATAAATAATATAGAAAGCATTCAAAATTATATCAGTGGGGAGAGAAATTTTTACTTCTACAACCTAAGTAGGAGTCCTAATATTTCAGTCATCAATTTTGCTGCTTGAAAATACAAGTTTAAAACTTCTCTTTCCTGCAAAGCAAATAGTGTTCTAATACTATTCAAAATTCCCCCAAAACTGCAATTCCTCTTCTCTGGATCATTAAAAAAGAAGCAGAGAGGCTGATAACAGGGTGCCATTTGTTTTGGGGGGGGTTTTGTTTGTTTTTTGTTTTATTTTTTAAATATATTTTTATAGATTTGGACAGGGAGAGAGAGAGAGAAACATCAAGATCAGAGAGAATCATTGACTGGCTGCCTCCTGCACACCCACTACTGGGGATCAAGCCCGCAACTCAGGCATGTGCCCTTGACAGGAGTCAAACCCAGGACCCTTCACTCCACAGTCCAATGCACTATCTTCTGAGCCAAACCGGGTAGGGCACAGGCTGTCATTTGCATGCATTTTAATTCTTATTTAATATCTTAAATGTTGTTGTTAACTTGGAAAGTTGGCTAAAGTAAGGAGACATTATTTTCCCCCAATCACAGAACTTGGAGAAAGCATGTATGTTATAGTAAGAAAAATGTGTTTCTACAGGATTACTATATGTCCTGTTTAGACTAGTTGTACTGAAATAAATGATTTCTTGAGGAGATACCGGGAAGGCATCATTCACTACCACTTTGGCTCCTCTTTTTAAAGAATTTGTAGAAATGGTAAAATCACTGACAGTCAAAACAACCAGAATTTGCCAAATTCTTGAATAGGAAAATATCTGTACTCGTTCCAGTCCTTCCAAATCCTATTCCTTGCACATTCCTTATGCATAATTTCCTATAAAAATTAACTGCCGTTTTTTAAGGTTAATTAAAGTCTTCCCTCACACAAAGCAAGAATGTTCTCACAAAGAAACAAAGCATCTCAATCAATGAAAGGCCAAGAATCGGAGTTCACCGAGTGCGCTGATGCAGGACAGAGCTGCACTTAACCCCTCGTCAAGACAGTTTACCACAGATTGGCTTTACAATGATGTGATGCAAATACCAGCCTCAGAAGAATTGCACATCACTCTCCTCCCAAGCACGGTGCTCTGGGCACTCGCGACAGCTGGAACCTAGAATTTTACATCAGCAAATGGCCAGCATCTATTGAAGACCAGCAGATGTTAGTACAAAAAATACTTCTTACTCAAGACATTGTTCTTATTCAAGGCTTTTTTATTTTAAGGCTAAGACTGAAATTAGCAACTGTAGTAACATCAAAAAGGTGAAACATAACTACACTGCAACCCTCTCCCATTGTCTTCAGCAAAGCTTTTTAAATGCTATTATCTCAAAAATGGGTAATTGATAGCATATCTCTAAAGGCTTCAGATATGTTGAATTATAATGCATTCTAAATGACAGTGATTTTTCCATCAAAGGAATTTTCCTTCTAACATTTCTAAAAGTATCAAGACTAACTGTGGTCCTCACCCTCACAAGTCAGAACGTAAACACTACATCCTAATGGTTACAGAGTGTGTGTGTGGTGGTGGAGGTGGTGGTGGTAGGGGTTATGAATGCCATACTCTGCTTAAGAGAGCAGACATTGCAAAGCAGGAAGCTCGGTAGTTTACCCTGAGGACTGTGCACCCCGCTGTGCCTAAATTTACTAAGGGGAATTTTGTAAGCAACTTCATCCAGCTACCGAAATCCTATCATTAGAGTGCCTGATTGGCAGGAACTGCTTTGGGTGGATCCTAAGGGCTGTTTTCTATTACACTGTGGCAGATGTGGGCTGGAATGGTTCCTGTATTCTAAAATTCCTACTAAGGTCCAAAGCTGAAAACAAAAGAAGCCAAGTATCATGCTTAGCTCGGAGCTGCCACGGGATGAGTCGGACCCTTCTCCAGGAAGCTTGCTCCTAAAGTGGCAGCCTATTCCCACAAAGGGAGGGCAGGGGGCGGTTCATTCACTGCCCAAAGCCAAGGGAAGGGAAGCTCCGAAACCTGGGCTGCTCCTCAGAAGGGGAGGGCAGCCTCTGGTTCCCTGGACAGCTAGAGATCGAACCTGCCTGCAGGTCCACCCTGCAGCTGCCAGGGGAAGAGAATGTCAGTTCAGCCCCAGGAAATGCCTGCTGAGAGCTGAGGAGCAAGGAACAATGGTCTATTTAGTTCCTCCTCCACGATGAGGAAGACAAGTGCTTAACACAGGTCCCTGGAGGTTGGTACCCTCTACTGTCTACTCTAGAATCAGCCGTGGGCAAACTACAGCCCGCGGATCCGGCCAGTTTGAAATGAATAAAACTCAAAAAAAAAACAGACGTACCCTTTTATGTAATGATGTTTACCAGCATCTCATGCACCAAAAGGTCGCTGGTTTGATTCTGGTCAGGGTACATGCAGGGGTGCAGGTCAATCCCCAGTAGGGGGCGTGCAGGAGGCAGCTGATTAATGTTTCTCACTTATCGATGTTTCTAACTTCCTATTCCTCTCCCTTCCTCTCTGTAAAAAATCAATAAAATATATATTTTTTTAAAAAAGTAAGGTGGTTCTAATAAAAAAAGTCACTCAAAAGTCATGAATTTAGAATATTAAATAAAGGAGCCATTAACCAATAGGGAAAACTGGAATTGACAGAGTTGGGACAGTTATTGGAAAACTTAAAACAATTTTTTTGGTATTGGGGTAACAAGAAACGTTCACTTTTTCAATGCCTATATTATTTAAAGTTTATAATAAGTATGTATAATTTCTAAATGAGAGAAAACAATACAGATGAATGAGAAAGAAGAAAGAGAGAAGGGGAAATAAAGAGAGAAACAAAGAATCATGAAATAGTGGCTGGTTTTTGGATAAAGTTAAGTCTAAAATAGAGGGGAAAATTAAGGGGGTACCATGCTGATGTAAGAAAAAAGGAAAATGGATTTTAAAAATTACTCTGAAGGCCCTGAACAATGGGAAAATCAAACTGCATTCGACCTGATTTATATGTTTTTAAATAACAACACTATATGCAATCTCCATGATAAACGTGGTCAGGAAATCATGACATTCCACTAAGTATACTTCATTGTTTTCAGCTATTCAAAATAAGGTTGGTCTCTTTAAATACACATGATGTTCATAAACTCTCTTTAATTATTTCAATATTTTAAGCACATATTATAATACGACATACTTTTCCTTCTCAATAGATTTCCTTTTAACAAAATCCAGGAAGTTCAACAAGCACCACAGTTTATCTCTGTGGAACAAAAACTCAATGATACTATCTTACAGGCAGACTGACTCCAGATTCTCTGTAAACAGGGAGTTGATGTTAACAATAGTATTTTAATATGGCTGATACCATATCAAAAATCACAGGAATATTGAAAATACCAAAATTATCAAGCATCCCGGGCCTTGGAAATATAAGGCCATGATGTGATAAAAAGAAACCATAGTTAGGCAGGGATGCATGTACTATATAAAGAGGCAGCTGAAAGAAACTTAAAGATCTGAGAGATATCCCCCATGGGTAGATGAGATCACTGTGGAGTACAGGCAGAACTTGCAAGATTAAGGCATAGGACAGTTTGAAAGAATGTCCATATATACTGCTCAGCATTTCTGCATGGTTAAATTGTTCACTTACTATTTCAAGAGACATACAACCAAAAACCTGTAAAATGCACAGCAGTACTATGGCAATGCTCAGCTCACATGCTAAATAAAATTAATCTAGTTTCCTGACAATATAATCTAGTATTCAGTGCAACCATAGGACCCAGCCTTAGGTTATTAAAATTGCCTTTAAATATTAATTCTTTTAAATGCAAGTTTTAGTAGAACTTACAAGTCAAAACGAAGATTCTCTCTTTCTTCAAAAAAGTAGTCCAGAATAAACTTTCTTACAAAATCCGGGTTGAGTGTATTATCAATTACTTCAGTCCTTCCAAACTGTTGAGGGAGAGAGAGGTTAAATCAAGCCTTGCGTTACTTTTATAGTATCAACTTAGTATTAACATAGTTCCTTGAAAATATAAACAACAAATATCCAAGTGATTTGATAAAACAAAGCCCTTCAGAAAGGTTTTAGAGATCAAATCATTCCCTCTTATTTATGGGAATCAGAACATGAGCACTGAGTTCATACAAATTACTAGAAAAGCACCTTCTGAAAATTCATATAAAAGGCTTCCCCTTTGCTCTCCATCTCAACGCCAAATCCCTTTCTAATCAAAAAAAGTTATTTCTATCTTAATTTTAAATTCATCACATATATTTTGCCTAACCTAGTGCATAACTCATCTAAGCAACACATATTCTTACACACAGAGGAGTCAAAGTATTCATAATCAAGCAGTCCTCTACACTAGTGGTCGCCAACCTTCGGACCTCACAGAGGTGACAGCGGCTCAGCCCCAGCTGATGAGCAGGAGTGGGGGAGAGAAGTGATTGGATTCTTATACCTGGAGGTAGAGCCAACAGGATGTAGGTGTGAGAGAGGAGGTGAGGGTATAGCCAGGATATGTAGGCACTGGCCCAGAGAGCACTGGGAAGCAGTCCTCTACACTAGTGGTCGCCAACCTTCGGACCTCACAGAGGTGACAGCGGCTCAGCCCCAGCTGATGAGCAGGAGTGGGGGAGAGAAGTGATTGGATTCTTATACCTGGAGGTAGAGCCAACAGGATGTAGGTGTGAGAGAGGAGGTGAGGGTATAGCCAGGATACGTAGGCACTGGCCCAGAGAACACTAGTGGTCCGCAGACCACCGGTTGGCAACCGCTGCTCTACACAATACAGTGATTAGCCATGTTTTGGGCAGAAGTTTTTTTATACTCTATTATACACTTTAATCACTTGTTTTTTGTTTTGTTTTCATTCTTATGGTACCTAGACAGCCAACACGGAATCTATGTTTCTCACACATTTTAAGCTAGTACATTGCATTTTTACTCAGAAAAAATAAGTTTCCCCAACTTAGGGGATGTTATGGTACCTAGACAGCCAACACGGAATCTATGATTCTCACACATTTTAAGCTAGTACATTGCAGAAAAAATAAGTTTCCCCAACTTAGGGGATATGAAACCAAGAAACAAAACTCCACATCTAGACTTCCTTTCCTTTCAATGTGAAGGAAGGCCACCAGGCACTGCCTCCTAAGATCAAGCAGAAACTTTTTATCTCTTTTTTGTATTAGGCTCACATTCTTACCCTCCTGTTGTCATGGAATTCTAATGAGGGAATTTGAACCTCTGGTTCTGAACAGCATTATGCATGCTGTCTTATCAGAGAGCCAACTTTTATTCAAGTTCAAGGAAAAACTATCCTTTTAATAGGAACAAAAGAACTGTGCTAATCCACTAAAAAGTGAAGGTCATGAGCTTACATAAATTTTGATAATGAAACGATGGTACAAAATACCAATGACAAAGGACTTACTATGGCTATTGCTAATTATCCAAATAAGAACTAGTTTGCAGAGGCTTATGCCCTGGGCAATGTTTTAAATCATGGACTAATATCATATAGATAAACCATAACCAAGATAACTAATTCAACATTTCCAAAATACTGAGCATTTACTTTGAACAATAGTAATGATGACAGCCACTATTGAGTACTTACTTGGTTCTAAGCACTTTTCACACATTACTTTAAATTTTCATCATAACCCTGAATAGTTAGTAATGTTTGTCCCACTTTAAAGGTTACAGAATTCAAGCAGAGGGTCCCGACCTAAGTCACTATGGCTACTAAATCTACATTCTCTCTAGGTCTCTCCTCTATTTCAGCATAGAACATGCTACCTGAAAAGCTTCCACAATGAGCTTATCCATGGTCCCCACTTTCAGGGAATGGGAACAAGAAGGGTACCTAACAGCCCCAGGCAGGCAGTGCAGAGGTCAAGGAGTGCATATCTGAACCAGAGACAGCCTGAGCCCTCCCAGCCTTCCTACTGACTGCGGGCAAAATGGATTCCAGGCCAGAGCATCAAATGGGCAAATGCACAATAGTCTCAAATAGACACTCAGCCAGTATTCATATTCCCCAGTGCCCAAATCCTTCTTGTGGATTTCAACCCACACCCACACTCAGTGGTAAGAAGATAACATACAGTTCCCAAGGGTAAACCCCATTGAATTGCAAGCCAGCGATTCCCAAGGGCCACTGAACCATTAAAACATCCACCAGCCTGTTTCTTAGTGAACATTGGCTTGTCAGCAATATGGGTGACTGAGCATATTCTACTATCTCAAGTGAAGATTAATATGTAGCCATTAAAATTTTAGCTAATCTCCTATAAATTATTAACATCTATTACTATAAGCCTCTAACACATAGCCCTGAAATTGCTTTTGATGATATCACCAATAACCTTCATATTGCTAAATCCAGTGGTCACTTTTGGGGCCTCCTCCCACTAGACGGCTCAGCAGCATTTGACACAGCTGTCCACTCCTTTTTGAAGCACACTACCCTGTTTTCCCTCTCTTAGATTCTCAGTGCAATCTCTCCTTGTCAAAGCACAGTTCTTGGACCTCTTCATCTCTCTTTCTTCTCTCTTCAATTAGGTTATTTTATCTGCTCCATTGACTTTAAATCCCATCTACATGATGATAACTTCCAAATGTGTATCATTAGCCCAGACTCAACCTGAGTATAGTAGACTTATGCATACAACTGTCTTCTTAACTTACAAATTCAGCTGTCTTACAGGCCCTTCAGAATTATCATCTAAACTTAAATGTTTATTGTAAACCACAACCACCACTCCAATGCTGGTGCTTACCAAATCTACCCTTGGTCAATAATTGACACCACTATCTACTTGATTCCACAGATAAATGGGAGTCATCCTCCTCAACTGCTTTCCATCACAATCTCAGAAATTGTCAATTCCAGCTCTAAAACACATCTTCGAGCTCTTTACTTCTCTCCATAGCTCCTGTCATTAGATTAATTCAAGCTTTCATCTTTCTCAGGATCACTTCAAGGGCCTCCTAACTCACAACTCTCCTTATTCTTTTTCTCCTACTCATCCTCCGTATAACATCCAGAGTAATCTTCTAAAAAATGAAAACACAGAAATGCAATTTCATCACTCTAAAAGTCTTTATTGGCTCCCATGGTACTTGACATAAATATTTTCTTTTGTCTACAGGGCCTGGACCCATCTACCTCTTGACCTTCATCATGGGCCAGTATCCCCTCTTTTCTCTTTGCCCCAGCCAGCTGGTCTTCCTTTAGGTCCCCTTGCACACCAAATCCTTTCCATCTTATGACCTTTGCACCTGCTCTGTCTTCTTCCTAGGATTCTCTTAGCCCCACTCTTGCATTGCTGACTTTTTTTTCATCCTTTAAGCCTCTGTTTAAATGTCAGCATTCTGGCTCTATATGACACCCACTTTAAAGTTGGTCCCTTCCTCTGAACTTATTCTCCTTATCGAACCTGGTTTTTTTCTTCCATAAAACTTATACTTTGGAATTATAGTTTTATTTGTTTGCTTGTTTTATATTTCCCTCACCAGACAATTGAGCTCCATGAAGACACAGAACGTACACATATTTGATTTACACCTGTACAAAATTGAACAAATGTTTAACTAAAGGAAATATGCAACCTATTGTTCAGAGAAAAAAAATCAATGTATAGTATATCAATTTTTATAAAAATATAAGTTTATATGTATACAGATAAAAAGAGAAGGTATACTAGAATGTAGATATTACCTTCAAATTATTTTTTATTATGTATTTCTGGGTTTTCCTAATGTCTTACAGTGAGTATGATTTACTTTTAAAATCAGAAACATAAACCTTTTAAGCACTGCTCCTGTTCCTCAGATATATTATGATTAGTTCAGCTCATGGGAAATATGTTGGTTCTTTCCCAGAGGCTGGAATTATATTAGCTACCCACCAAGTGATTAATCCTTATGATTTGAAATAAAATTTGTCTTAGCTAATGCCTTATATTACTAAATAAAACTTGTCTAATTGCTAGAAAAATGTAGTTACATACAATGCTATGCAGTTCCGAGGGGGGTTAGAATTTTGCAGAAAGACAATTATTAATAATATTTATGATGGCACATATCTAAAAACAGCTACATTTGAAAGAATTGTAACTTATATCCTCAAAAGTCTTTTTCTGAATATCAATAATACTGGATTGTCAGAGGTACCTGCAGACCTGATTATAATAATCTCTGGCACAATGACCTTATCCAAATATATGGACAGTCAAGCACTTGAACATAATTGTACAGTAGTAAGTTTCATCATCTCACAATTCAAACAATTGTTAGAGAAATGTTCTTTTGGTCACCAAGAGTGAAAGTTTTCAGTCATTTGAAAAAAAAGAACTATACACACTGTTATTTTTGATAGAACACAAAACATTGTTTCTTGTAAAACTTTAAGCAAAATTACAAAACAATTCACAATTCAAGAGTGAAAGTTTTCAGTCATTTGAAAAAAAAAAGTATATACACTGTTATTTTTGATAGAACACAAAACACTGTTTCTTGTAAAACTTTAAGCAAAATTAAAAAACAATTCACAATCAAGACTTTGAAAATTTTCCTTTGTTTTGTGCTTGAGCTAATTGGATAAATATGTACTTTTCCAATTTAGGAACAAATCGTGTAGAAAATGATGGAATAGAAATATTCCTGATTTTTAAATGAACTAATTGTTAGACTGTTTCAGAGGAGCAGTACTGGAAAGAACATTCATCTATTTATGGCACAAAGCAGACGAACTCTTGTATTGAGAAAAATGTTCAGAAATGTTTAACATATTGTGAAGGCCCAGAACAACCACCCGATATCAT